TATCTTTCCACAACTGTGCCGTCGTCTGTATACCCATAGATAACGGGAATGAGCAGATCATTTATATGCGGCAGGAAGAGAGTTGCGGAGAGAACGGACCCCTGAGGAACACCGGCGTTAGTCGCCACAGTACTGGTTGAGCAGCCATCGATAACGACCCGGAGAGATCGTTCACTCAAAAACTCCTTCACCCAGGCAATCAGGCCAGGGGATAAGCCGTACGCTGAAAGCTTGCCCAATAGACTAGCGTGCCAAACCCTGTCAAAGACCTTCGAAACATCGAGGGAAACAGCAAGTGCTTCCACTGTTCTCGAGGTCTTCGCTCCATATGTGAGTGGCATACGCTAGAAGGTCCCCAGTTGATCGATTTCGGCGAAACCCGTACTGACGATCCTTGAGGAGATAATTTTGCTCTAGGTATGCCATGAGGTGGGCGTCCAATATACGCCCCATAATCTTGCAGAGTATGGGGGTAATTGAAATTGGCCGATAGTTGGCAGGGTCGGTCGGTACGGCTACCTTTTTTAGGCACAGGCTGCACATTGGCCAGCTTCCAAAATTTGGGCACTATTCCTGAATGAGAGGCGGAACAAGCGTGTCAACACAGGAGACAACTCAGGTGCACAATCCTTTAGAACTATAGCTGGTATACCATCAAGTCCACTAGCTTTGTTCACGTCTAGACTTCGAAAGATTTAAAGAACCTCCTTGTTGGTGATTCGGACCTCTGTCATAGATATACCGCAGTGAGGTAATTGAGATGGTACGCTGTTGCTGCTACTGTCCAGACGCGAGTTGCAAGCAAAAAGAGAAGCAAATACGTCCGCTTTCTCCTTAGGTGCATGCGCCAGTGAGCCATCTGGTTTCACCAGCGGAGGCAGTGTAGACCGACAGAAGTTTGTCTTGACTGCTTTGGCGAGAGACCAAAAAGCTCTACTCCCAGATGGTTTTACAGAGAGCTTTGTGCCGATGCGTTTGATGCGGTCGAAGCTGGCTTGGCGTAATACCTTTTTGCAGGACTTTGCGGCTTGGTTAAAGGCTCTCTTCTTAAGGTTAACATTCGGAGCTTTACGGTCTCGAGCATCGACCCCAGGATAAGTACGCCATATGTTTGTGCTTTTCAGTACGAGTGCACTCGGTGTTAAACCATGGGCGAGCTTTACCAACAATGGGCACGTCAGCAAAGGGGATGAAATACTCCATCGCTTGACGTATCACATTGGTTATAGCATCCGCGCAGCTCGACGGGTCTTCAGAGGAGAAGCAGATCTGCCGCCAAGGATAAGATTCAAAGAAATGCCGCATATCATCCCAATCTGCAGACTTGTGTCGCCACATGCATCGCAGTCCGTGGAAATCGTAGTTAAGTGGGGAATATAGCGACACAGATTTCACCAGACAGTGGTCAGAAGTTCCCAAGGGTGAGGAAACCTGAACATCGTACCCGTCTGCATCGGTCGTCAGCAGAAGGTCGAGGCAATTGGCTGTGTGCCCATCCATATCAGGTACCCTAGTCGCTTGTTGTACAAGCTGGGAGAGCCCCAGCGACAAGGTAAAATTCCACGCCTCTCTCCCAGCGCTGTCGGTCTTTTGGTATGGGAACAGCCAGTCCTGATGACAGGCATTAAAGTCCAGGGGGACGAAGCTGCTCGCGTCCGTAGGAATTACTTGAATCCTGATTCCCTACACGTAACCCCTGGGTACTGCTAAACGAGCAGTACTACATACTGGTGGTAGGTTGGTCCTCTACTAGTGAGAGGCCCGGCCGAGGGTTAGTTACCACCCACCTGGCAAAAGACATACCGCCAAATGATGCAAATCGTATTTCGGTATGATGTTAGGTGAAACCTATTTCTTAGGAAGAATGGGTCTGGACAGTTGCGTTGCGGATACGAACTGGCTGCGACGCGGCCTTTTCATAGTGTCAGGTGCCTGGTTATGGAGGTTAGCGTGATCCGAAGCACGGTTGCATCGCTGGCCGACCGTAGATAGTTGAGGGCCCAATTAATGAGCCAGCCACTCATGAAAGGCTGCCCCGCCATCTTACTAAAAATCCTGGGATGGCTCCACCATGCCGGTTGGCGACCGGAGGAGAGGGCCTGGTGGCAATTTCCAGGGGGAGGGAGGGGGTTCGGGCGTCCCCGCGATCTCCATGCTAGATACCATCGATGCTGTGACTCTGTTTGCGTCCCTAGATTAATATGTGTGACGCCTCGTCCAACTGCCTTTCGATGTAATTTAAGTCCGCAAGAAAGTTATGATATACTTCGATTGGCCTTTCATGATTAAGCCCCATCTCGTGCCACTGTTTACAACTGATTTAATGAGTTTAAACGTGGTCGCACTAATCTCGCCGATGATCTGCGTGAGGGCCTTCTACGGCGACGACTGAAGATAACATCACTGTTGTGCGGCGTATGATAGAGACTGACAAAAGAGTGACTTATCAGCACATTCGGACAAGCTTAGGGTGGTATGGGTCAAGTGCAAAAAATCCTCCATGAACATTTAGCGGTCAGGAACCTTGTGCCCGGTGGATACCTCATAATTTGACAGAGGCCAAAGTTCCGTCGTGTTGATTGGTGTCGTAAAATGGTTCAAAGATTTAACGGAGGTGACTCAAATGCTGTGTTCGACATACTTACGGGTGACGAAAGCTGGATTTGTTGTTACGATCCTGAAACTAAGAGACAGTCTGCTGTCTGGGTGTTTCCTCCTGAGGAGTTGCCAACTAAAGTGAACAGAGGTTCACTTTATTTGGCAACTTTCTACGCAACGAGGCCTCGTTCTACGCAAGGACAGGTTATTACGCAACAATTGTTTTAGAGGATGGAAGACAGAATACCAGCGTAAAATAGCAGCTTAACGCTGCTGTGTTTCGTATGGTGAGTGTTGAGAACCGGAGACCTTATTTACTGGAAACGAGGCATTACATCTTAGTCCTCACGGGTGACAACGCATCTGCATTTTGATTCGTATATCAAGGATAGATGTAGATTTCTATGGGCCGCAGCAACCATTTACCATCAGGTGGACTATGTGCTTGTTTGTCACCCTTATCATATAAAAAAATGGAAAAACAGTTACTGCAGAGTTGTACACTAACAATTGTTTGGAAAAAGTTCGGGAGAAATGACCTCGCAGTAGGATCCTCCTTCACCACGATAACGCTTCGTCGCACACCGCCAAGCAAACAATCTACTACTTGGCGACGTCAGACGTGGAATTACTGGGTCACCCGCCCTATAGCCCCGACCTCGCACCTTGCGATTTTTATTTATTTACGAAAATAAAAGAATAACTTCGAGGTAAACGTTTTATGGACGCCGAGGTAGCAGTGGCTGCGTTTTAAAATGCCGTCGAAGAGATCCCTAAGGACGAGTGGGCAAAGTGCTTTTCTCACTGGTTCCATCGGATGCAGCAATGTATTGATGTAAATGGACACTATTTTCAAAAGATATAATAAAAGTAATAACTTTCTAGTATGTTCAGTTTTTGATTTTCTAAGAACTTGCATTGTCACCTTCGTAATTGGTACTGGGGAGTGGCCGCGCGATATCCGTTTTGGTTTAAGAATTAAGTGCGAGAAGTTTGAAAAGATGGATCTTATTTGGAATCGGCCCTTTTTAGGCGCACCTACCTTATGAACGATTTTTTCTCGTACCAGTGAGCGTAGTGTCTGGCGGCCTGCCACTAGATGGAGTGACTACCTGGTAAGACGTGCAGAAAGTCTATGGATGCAGGTGATTCACAAATGTGTTTTGTGCCATTCCTTGGGGGAGGCCCATAATCAGCAGTGCACTTGTAATGATTTTTGATTTGAAGCGTCAGTAGCTTAATGGCAGGGCGCGGACCGTGAACTCGAAAAGTAGTGAGTTCGAATCCGCTATTCGACTACTGTCGTGAACCACTTCTAAAACAAGCATTTTAAGCTTACCAGAAGTGGTTTAAGGGAATATTAGTAATGTTTAATAGCAATACTAGTATTAAAAAAAAACGATGCTGATGTACAGTTTATATTGCTATCTATTATAGTTGTCTCCATGAATCCTTGCTAACATTCCCAAAGAGAGCTGCAACGATAGCCACGAGAAGAGTGGTTAACATTACTTATACCGAAATGAGTATTATATTTTCTAGGGCATTTAAATAAGACATGAATGAGTAGTTAGTCTTTAAGATCCAAAAATCAATTTTATGAAAGAATTTTTTGTGACAAAAATCTCAAGTACCTATCATCATCATCATCATCATTATAATTAACTTTTAAGTCCTTTAACTATAGACCTTAGCCAAGTATATGACATATTTTTTGGTTTTTTTTTAATGTGTGTTAGGTACCTCATGAGTTTTTTCTACGTGCACCGATTTTGATGATTCCTTTTTAATTTTCAAGCTGGTGCTCCTCATGTGGTCCCATATAAATTTTGATATAGCTCTGACCAGTAGTTTTTGAGTTACCTATCCTTAATAATTTATATTGAAGTCGGTTGTACAAAATTTTTAATCTTACCGCTTGTATTTGTAACGTATCTACGAATGACCCCAATACCAAAATCTCTCGCTTAGATTTTAGGAATGTATCGACGGTAATATTCATTAGAATTTATCAAGCCAAGGCCATAAATATAAACCATTCACAATTCGTGTATACCTAGCTATAGCTGAGAATTCGCTCGAATTTAACACCGGTCGCTTGATTGCGACTAGTTACGTCTAAAATAAAATTCCGTCATCGGGCGTCGACAACTGCCGTTCGTTTGTGGAGCGACGAAGGCGGCTTCGGGGCTTCGGTTCGGTTGCCATTCTCATTCCCGCCACGCCAGTTCGCCACTCGCCAGTCGCTCGTCGCTCGAACGGTACGACGCTCGCTGCTTCCTGACAAAAATGTGTTAGATACGGATCATTAGTGCACTAAGTTTCGAGTGACAGTGTTCGTGTTATAAACACCTGGAACATTTTGCTTATTATACCTTTGAGGATATTAACCTATTTAGAGGATGATGGCTCCCGAGACAGTGGTGACCGTGGACCCCAACAAGCCTACTCCGCAACAAACGCCTCCGCAGCAGCAAGGCGGACCGCTGGACTGGATCAAAATCAACATAGATTACTTTAAATCTCCCCCCGGTATATTAAAAGTTGTTGAATTGGTAAGTCTTATATTCAGTAGAAGATTATAAACATATTGTTAAAAAATTATATTGAATATATAATATTCGTTATGTAAAAAAATGTGTCTATAAAAACCTTTTAGGCGCATTTTCCTTGATGAAAATTTTTAATGCAATCCTTAATACGAACTTTGATTTACCTAATTATTTTTTTTAGTTAATATAAAAGAGTTTAAAAAATGTTAAATAGCACGGATCAGAAGCTGTTATGATAATTGTAATAATTTTAGTTCATACCATAGAATAAATAATAGTAGGTATCATAGTCCTGAAAGCATTCTAATCGATTCTTAATACGTCTGCAAAATATCAGATTATACAGATTGTGGATGAAAACTGAAATAAGAACTCTATTACATTCATATTTTACACACATACAACATGCATACTTGCAGGTCTAGGCAATAAAATATGATGTCATATTGTTTTGAAAGAAATATATGTATCAACAAGTATGATATCATAAAGGGAATGTCGCATAACGATGTTAAATTATGCCGGTTAGACCCAGGTGGCTGAAATTATAGTCTTCGGTACTATGTAGTTTTCTATACGAGTTATTGGGACCGTTATACCGCTGTCTTTGTAGCTGAGAAAGGTTTTTGATGCCATGGAGGTTAGTAGGTAGAATATGCAATGGGTTAAGCGCAGTTTGTGGGAGAGGTAGAGTAAAGTAGAGCATATGTACGCGTTGCGTCGAGAGCTACGTATTTTTGCACTTATTTCACTGTATAATATCCTTGTAGCAATTATGTTTGGATAAGGTGTCAAATAATTTAAAATTAAAAATTTTGTACAGCCGACTTCAATATAAGTTATTTAAGAATAACTTAAAAACTATTGGTCTGACCTTGATCAAATTCATATGGGACCACACGAGAAGTACCAGCTTTCAAATAAAAAAAGAATCATCGAAATCGGTTCACCCAGAAAAAAGTTCTGAGGTAACACACATAAAAAAAAAACGAAAAAAAAAAACATACAGTCGAATTGAGTACCGGCTCCTTTTTGGAAGTCGGCAGAATGAAAGAATATTCAAAAACATTTTTATCTCAAAAGAACAGGTACAATTAAAGTACTGCAAAAATAACGTCGATACTTTGAAGCTTAGTTTTTTAAATTGCAGCGTACCCTAGCTAGGTACTAGGTTTTTAATGTACTAATGAAACAACAACGATTAGCCGTTACCTACGTGATGTGCTAGTTAGGTTAACCCATCTCAGTAATTTGAAATGACATTTATTATAAACATTTAAAAGGCACTGGAATGTAGACAATTAAGAACTATAACTATTAAGGATCCATTAAAATTAATGATTATTATTCAATACATAAACCTGTAGATGTGACTAGTTCGAAATACATCATGTTCTAATCGCCCACTTTGCTAAGACGCTGATATCATCATTTGACTACGCGCTACACATATGTAATATCTAATATTATGTAACTTACAAGGCGTACCACTAACTTAGCTTACGTAAAATAAAAAAAATAACACTAAGCATATTCAACAAAATCACGCTCTAAGCTACGGATCTCAGCAAGTGGTATATCATGTTGGATTCAGACAGACAGACAAATAAGTAAAATATGTATAAAATAAAAAGCAAAAACAAAATTGGCTACTACGAACACAATTTTTTGTATGTAAGTTGTATTTTTTTTTATAGGATAAGGGTGACAAACGAGCACACAGTCCACCTGATGGTAAGTGGTTGCCGTAGCCCATAGACATCTACATCTATCTTCGATTAAGAATCAAAATGCAGATGCGTTGTCACCCGTGAGGATTAAGATGGAATGTTTCGTTTCCAGTGAAAAGGGTCTCCGGTTCTCTACACTCACCAAACGAAACACAGCAGTGTTAAGCTGCTATTTTACGCTGGTATTCTGTGAGAGCGTGGTCCTTCCCCGGTCCAGCCGACCCATTCGTGCTACAACCATAATATAGCTGTAGCATGGCTCTACCACGTATAAAAATTTTTGTGATGTTTGTTGTATTTAGGTGTAAATATTTTTATAACAAATAATGACATTGTTTTATTGGCAGTTTTTCCATTCTTTGACGCAATTATCTTATACTGGCATACTAAAGTGCAATTAAAATTCGCTGCTTATCGAATTCATTCAAACCATAACGAAGAAAAGATCGAGTAACTTGAGATTTTCTTATTCTATAAAAAAAATCTCTTGGTAATTGAAATAAACATACAGAACACAAGTTACATAGTATGCATCAACAGGCCGGCAACTGCATCGTCAAAATAAAGTCACTCGACCTTGAATGTAGTCTTCAGCGTGAGATAATGTAATAACTAATACTCATAGGTTGTTCCGATATAGCGTTAAATGCAGATAATTCATAATAAAAAGATATGAAGTCAAAAATTTAATTTTTTTTGGAAATCTAATCGAAACGTTGTTAAAATTGTAATGACGAAAACGAAACGAAATGTAAGTTAAATTAAATCAATACAATTCGCTATTGTTGTTTCAATATAAAAAAAATGAATCCTAGCAGCCTAGGATGATCCTAGGACTACCGTGAAAGTATATTCTATTTGTTAGTAAATAGTCAGCTAATTTGGCTAATGTTAATGCTGTTAGCCATTTAGTTTTTACAGATTTATCAGAAAATGACACATCGTGTTGCTTCTTCTTCTTCTTAAAGTGCCATCTTCTTTCGAAGGTCGGCGATCATTAAGGCAGGCATCGTGTTGCATACATACAAAAATACGTCAGTATATAATAATCTCCTCTCAGTGCTGTAGCTAGAGGGTAGCTACGGGTGCAGTTTGCACCGGCTATACTAGTTAAACAGAGGTTAATTCGCGATTTAGTCGAAAGAAATTTAAAATGAAGAGATTAAAACTGATTTTCTCTATCCTTGCTATGTGCATCCTATAAAAGTAAATGTTGAAATAATACACTAATTTACATCACTGTTCAGGTGGCATCATAATCAAATTATGTACCTAGTTTTTTCAAGAAAAAGAAATCGAACTTATAAGGTATAGGTAATTTATTATCGAGTGGGAAGTTGATAGTGAGTGGGAGAACGAATCGCATTCGCACCCATACTTTTTTACTTTAGGTTTAATTTGACAATTTTTGTTTTCATATTTTAAATTAGATGTACCAATTTGCAATGTGTTAAGTGATAACTTAAAATTTCTTATACAGTTTTTCACATTAAGTAAGGATAACGCCTATAGTTTCTTTATAAAAATCGATATTTTTATTATTGTAAAGGGTAAGTTAAATATTACAGGTTAAAATAAATTTCAAGGTGAAATATCAAATTAATACCAACTAGCAGCGTTGTGTGGAGTAGGATGTAATTAACTACACAAAATAAGTTGCTTAACCCCATGTTAGTTAAAACCTACATTTTACAATTTTAACTTAAGTCCCATACATTATTCATAATGAATGGTAATCGTTTCATAATTAAGCCATGAGAAAATATTTGTGAGCAAACAATTTAGGTACAATTAAATGTAATTATGTAGTAGTAGTGTATTCGTCTAAATGGATAAAAACTTGCGTTAAGTTTAAAAGATAAACTTTACTGTAATACATTAAAAAGACAATAAAAACCTCAAAAATCCTTTTACTAATTTTACCTTACATCGTAGTGTTATACTTGTTAACACTCAGTTCGTACGTTGTGTAAGTATAACTTGTTAAAGCGTAAAAGTGACCAATTATCGATCTTAAAAGTAAACATGAGGTAAACCCTGATTTGTAGAAACTGAATGTACATAATAATTTGTATTATTTCTAATGCTTACGACTGGGCTACTTCAAGAATTCCTAGAGGTAGAAAAATAATTTTGAATTGTCAAGGAAAATAATCGTCTCATACAATTTTCACAATTTGTTAAGAGTTATGCAAATATAATAAAAGATGTGTCTTTATTTAAAGTACCTATATAGCATATGTATTGTAAGTATGTAGCTCAATAAAATTTTGTAAGCCGTAAGAATAAATCTACTGATAGTAAAATTCTAGCAGTTTGGAACTTTGGAAATAAAAAAACTGGTAAAACAAAGATCTCTAGAAATAAATTTCATTTAGAAATAGTCAGCGGTTCAACACTATTTTAAAAATATGTCAAGAATATTATAACTGCTTTTTAGGTCTTTAATCTTTATCTATTCCGCCGCATCAATTTCTATTAGTAATTTATTTGAAGGTGCTGGAGAGGTAGTGTGCTGCTGTACTAAATGCGTAGAGCATATTACCTACTGAAAAATTTTATTTGGAGTAAAATTCGGACGTTACTCGGAAACTGTAATTCTTTAAGACGAACTGAATGCATGTTACTTGAAAATATTACGTGTGGTGACAATAAAATCAACCAAACATTACCCCGCATGGTGATAAGTGATAACATTAATAAAATTTGCTAAGTGACCCTTCTTATTGTCTCTAACCTGTTATTACAAGGTAACATTTTAACTGCTGAGGGCTAATAAATGTTTGAAGTTAAGTGTTTATTCAATTGGTCATCCGCATACCGTTAATATCGTTCGACTGTTTGTGATATTGCATGTATTCACAGATGTTCTTATTAAGAATAAGCGTGACGACACGATACCCAACGTCTGAAAGGGCACCTTTAACCTATGAGTAATTTTTGGTGAGGTTAAAGAAATCTGATTACATCAGCACCATAAACAGGCGGCAATTCATTTGCTTATACTACAACCACGTATATTGATCGCTATTCGAAAGGTCACAACCACATACCAACATATTTTGCTATAAAACATGAATTTATAAAAATACTTGGGAGACTATGCACGCGTATAATAATAATTATAACATTTCGTTAGTTGTTAATCTATTTATTGTAATTACACATGATGTTGTGACATTATCAACTTCCGACTACCGTCGAAAGTTATCAAGCGCAAATAGATTTAAAAGTCATGTTTATAATATACTTAACAGTAAGTATAACTTAAAT